CCCCTCTTTCGAGGCTAATTACATAATTTTTTGATGGGTCTAAAAATATATTCGATTCCCGCTAAAATGCAATCTAAATAGTATAGTAGAAGCCCAGTTCTTCGGGGTAATCCTTAAAAGTCATCCCGGGAGACATCCTCCCTCGGCAGATTGCCCACCTGTCGCGTGGCAGTAATCAAATAAATCTAACCTGAACCTAACCGAATAGTTAATGGGCCCTACTTTTATGTAACGTGACGGAACGGAAAGACGTGACGTAATGTAAGAGGTACCCGTGTGAACGCAACTAAGGCATCGGCCTCCGGGAAATCCGAATTCGAATCCGGACGGGTACCCCTTGCGATTTTTTACGGGGGCCTTTCCCGACATGTCGAGTCCCCGTCGCTCTTACTGCGAACCTGGTCGAACCCACGATAGTCGTAGAAAAAGACCTTCTTAGAACACAAGAATATCTTACAAACAAAAGTTTGTTTTTCTACTCTCGAATACGCAAGTTTTGAATATTCACTTAAGCGCTCAACAGGTGTGCCGTTTCTTTTATTACCTGTCGCAAACGCGTTTATGGTTTGGCATCTGGCAGTTTATTTCCATTAAAATTTAACGAATCCGTTTTCACATCTTAGTACAGTATTTTAAAGTAAATTTTAAAAAATTATCCGCATCGAGATTAAATAGACTCAAAAAATATCTACTTTTTGAATATCTCGTCACTTAAAAGGGCATTTAATGGGCCAAATTATGGCTATTACACCCAAATATCTACGTAATAGTCGAAGACGGTCTTTAGGGCCGTCCGTATATTACGTAACGCAGATACGGGTGGATGCGTATACGGATATTTTGGTAATTGTTACGATGAGTTTCGAGGAAATGCGAGTGCTTACAAAAACGTTACGCAATGCTAGGATCCCAATCTTTGACTAACCGAATGATGATTTGATGGAATACGGCAACTGGACACGTGGGCGATCTGCCAAGAGGAGGACTTTCTATGGGAAAATTGCTCGTATTTAGGCGTTAGACGCGCGAAGACGATCCGGAAAACTCCACGTGGCCAACCCAGGTGCAGTTTTCTGTGTTTTATTCACGTGTCTAAAGTATAAAAATAGTGTTACGTGATTTCTAGACGATCCCTTAAAACTTAAAAATTTACTTTACCCCGTGCGACGGTCCAATTTTTTCTCCTAAAATTCCTCGGAATACGAATTAAGAATACAAAAGAATACTTCGTAACGGATGATTTTAACGACGGTATACGTCGTTAACAGCAACGAGGACACGTTATCATCCTCTATTTCCTTCTGCCTTTGGTAGATAGAGAAATTTGTGTCGTCATGACAGTTGCCGAGTTCATTGGCTGGTTACTTTGATTCTCTTTTAACAGTTTATGTGTGTCTTAATTAGAAATTTTAGTAACTCCAATACTTAGGTCTTAATCCTTCCACATTAACGACGACGTAAGAATTTAAACAAAATTTTTAACCCAAAAAAACATAAATATAGGATTTAATCGCGGTGTAGTGATGTCACTTCCACCAATAAAAGCGGTTTTATTCCTATATTTAAAAATATATTAAAAATTACTTTTGATGAAACATAACGCAATGCCACGCAAAAGATGAATTTCTTCGGCCATATTTTGATTTTACGGTTTAAAATTAAAATTAACTTATATTTTAATAAGTCTAACGCAATCTTTTTCATTTAATTTAATTTATTTAGCCATACTGGGTAAAACCCACGATGCGGGAAATACAAAAAAATTGTTACATACATTACGCACCGAAATATGTTACAATCCTTCCGTTATTACAGGGAAAATTAAACATTTACATAAATGTTTAATTTTTTACTGAATAAACAGGTGTTTGTTGCATATCTTTGTTTACTCTTTTAATCATTTACATAGCTCTGTCACTTCTACCAGTCATGCAATGTGCATGTGGCTACACACATTTCTTAGTTGTGTAAGTATAGTACACAGTACAGCAGAAAAAAATGTATTGCTAAACAGAGATTTATTACAGTAAAGAATATCATTCAATTTTACATTAAGCTAATACAAATTGCATTGGAAATTATATTTCTTATCATTAAGGACAGATTTATCATTATATCAATAATCACTGTACCGAGATTTGACTGTATATAAAATTTAAAAATTTCTAATATTGAAAAAGTTTTTCTTTTTCATTTCAGATAAGATCTTGTATTTACATTGAGCAGTCAATTATAAATATATCAACTACCAAATTTCCATACAAAATAAACATTTCATAATCATAAATAGAAATTTGTGACAATGTTTTGGATTAAAAAAAGTGCAATTGCAGATATTCTTTCTAATAGTTCAGCATAAAAAACAGAAATTTAATCAGAATAAACCATTGTGAACAACATATAAAATAATTAAGGCAATTAAAAAATTTTCAGGATAATCTACTTGACTTTTTGTATTAAAGACTGAACTTCTGAGCAGAGTCCTAATGAAATTAGTTATGTTGGAAATTACACATATTTTTGTTTTTCTTTCTGCCCTATGGGCCTTAAGAGATCTTTTTTCAAGCCCATCACGGGTACAGATAAGCTCATAACGGAGTAGCCAAATAGTGAAAGATTGAGTTTGACATATCCAAGAGATCATCCCCAAAAAATTCTTGGGGTTAAACTCATTCAGATCCAATCTCAAATCCCCAGAACAGTAGGCTGATACCTTACCAACTGGCCATTCAGCCTTTGTGTGTTTTGCTATTCTACATAAATTAACTTTAGCTTGATGGATTAAAGAATTCAATAATACAGATCCAAAAATTTCCAATAAAATTACAAAAGTATAGAGTTCAAATTGAGTACTTTATCCATATTTGATAAATTGCAAATTATATAATATTTAAATATAATGAAATGCCACTTACCATCACTTTTCTATAACAAAAATTTAGATCACATATTAATTAACTATATATTTTGGCTAATGATGATAATGCTTGCTACAATTATTAATCAAATTATTAATTTTCTGTAATTTTCATAATAAGTGAAACCAAAAATTAAATACCTCACTTCATATTCATATATATACAATAAAATTCAATTACTCTTTCCACTATATTTGAAAACTAAATAGCCAGACATAAGTATTTAATTTCCAATAAATATTTAAATTTTATATAACTTTATTCACATCTTGAAGTAAATAAAATAAAAACCAATATAAATTTATTTTTCTAAGGGCATTTAGTTAAACATTTAAATCTCATTTTGATGTCAAATGAAAATATGTGAATACAAACTATTCTACTGTAAGTAGATAATATTTTTCTTTCAAAATTAATTGAATTATTGGAAAAAGAGAAAGCACTCTAAGGAAATTTATTTTGTCAAAGAAGTACCATAATGAGAAAAGCCTACTAAGATGGGTTTACAGTGATATATAATTGCAATAATGATAATTGTAAAATACTTTGCCCCATTGTTCTATGGAAATTTGAAAAATTGTATTATTTTAAATCAGTAAAGCATTATTCATGCCAATACAAAACATGAAAAGCTGTTCCAGAAATGAATGTTGACATCTGGAAAAGAAACAATGTGCCAAAACAGAAATATCTTACTCCTGCTAAATCATGTTGCATCTCAGTGGCAAGAAAACTATCACTGAAATGTGTAACTGCTTTATTTGCCCACCTAATATAACCAGACATATAGACAGCCTTCAAATCAAGGAATTATTACTTACTCTAAGTATGCATACAAGAAATGGTCATTGCAATTCCTTTTCAGAGAAATCTGAAAAATATTCTGGCTTCCAAGATTAGAAAGCAGAATATAATAGAACAGGAGGAATAATGATAGCTTGAAAAAATGTCATAGTACTGGTAATAAAGAACATTTTTACTGAGATTGTGGATGCTGTGAATGAAGATGAGTAGACAACTTCACTGGATGAGTAGAACTGAAATAATATCTCAACATGGATGAACATATCATCCATGTTGTTGAACATATGAACATATTAAAAAACAGTCATTTTGAATTAATACATCTCAATAAATTTCATGAACTGTTTTGGAAAGTTCTGAAAGCATACAAAAAACACAAAAGGAGAGGCAGCGTGTTCTATTTCACCTCCAAGAAATGATGCATTCATGATACTCTTAATTATAGACAGTTTAATCATTTTAAATGATGATTATGAAAATGTTGTAAAAACCTTTTTGAATGTAATACAGAATTTCATTTTGTAAAGATACAAAAATTGTTTAAAAAAAGCAGACTGACTGTTATTTTAAATCTCAATGATGTATGTAATAAATGTAGGCAGTAACAATTTTTTTTTAATTTTTATAACACTTAACACTTTTAAATATTGTAATAAACAGAAATTAACATAACAACAATCAAATCACATAAATGGTATTGTATATCTTTAAAAAAAATTTAAAAAGTTCAAAGTGTAATTTAAATCTCAGTTTTCCAATCCCATCTATTTCAAATTAACAAGGTTCAACTATAGTTTATATTAAATATCTAAAATATTAAATCACATAATTAAAATCTCAATATTCTATATTATTGTCCTGCCAAATCCTTTATTTTTATATAATGAAGACACAAGAAAAAATGACCAATTAAAGATGAAAAACTTACAATCTACCTTATGAATGGAAAAAGCATATATTCAAAAAATTTTTTTTATATATATTAATTATTATAAATGGATAAGAAATAAAATAAATAGATTTAGATCAATAATATACTTTTATATATATTAATATATATCTTAGAAAAAGTAATTACATCAATTATCTTCAGATTTATGCATGGAAGTGTTAATAAACTATACCATCAAAACATGAATTAATATAAAAAAACAAATAATTTCTATATCAAAATTCATACATACCTGTAATATTACCAAAAGAAGAATTTACAGTTTGTGTAGTAAATGGTGTTAAGTTTGGTCGTAAATCAGCTGTTGTAAAAGTAAAATTAATTACAGGACTCTGAATATGTGTACCAGCATTTATTAATGAAGTAGCATTTGTTGTATTTGTTGTAGTTTTAATTGTTAGAATTTTTTCTGGATCTAAACATGGTTTAATTAAGCCAACCGATTGATTCTTAGGAGCTGATGGCACATTTAACTGAGTTGTCAAAGTTGTCATTTTGCAAGGTGCTATGTCCCTACCTAAAATGTTTTAATTATATTAAATAATTAATTTGATTGAATTAAAAAATTTTTCTTATTGCATAAAAGTAACATTTATAATGCAGAATTACTTAAGGATGTTATACTTAATTAAAATTGGTAAATAAAGTCTAGTAAATAATGTATAATAAATATTTTTATCAGCATTGTGTAATGTAGAAAAATAATAATAATAATGTTTTATTTTGAAAATTAAAATTTATTAAGTTCTCCACTAAATTAAAAAGTATACAATTTCAACTTACAGTGAATCCTAAGTGATTAAAAAAAATATTTCTAAAGTTAGGTAATTAATATATTAGCAATTAAAACTCTGAAGATTTAATTGCTCAACTTTTCAAGAGCCAAAAGATTATTTAAACATTAAACGTTTTCAGAAATTTCAGCTCATTTTAAAAAATATGGCTGAAAATTACATCCAATTCTGTTTTTATACAATTGATATGTTTCCAAAACAACTGTGTAAAAATATACTGTCTGTATGAAAAAATGGAAGATTGATTCCAACCTTAAAAACCAGTAAAAATAATCTGATAAATCATTAATACATTACAATACTTTTAAACAAAATATTTCAATTTTAGTTAATAAACCAGAAAAGAGTTTGGTTTGGCTTGGTTTAATGGGATACAACACAACTACAAGTAGGTGATTTGCCAATAAAGATTCTTCCTAGAAGGACTTTTTATGGGAAACTGACCCCTGTATGTTAGACACGCAGAGAAGACCCAGAAAACTGTTGATGACACGTAAACAAAGTACAAAAAATAGAAGAAAATAATAATGATAATTTTTGTTCTCTTTTATATGTAATCAATATTTAATGTCAAATGTTTTAATTAGTAAATTTCTGCTTCCAGTTTTGGGTATGGGACAGTCTTAGGAAAAATGTCTGACTGAGAGCATGTTTTTTTTTAGTATTCTTGGCTGCATGGAAAACAATCAACAATATTTCAATGTCAAAAGCTCCATATGACTAGTTCCATGGACAGGCATGTACCTGTAATCAACTACCAGTGTCTGGTGATTTTATCCACTTGGAAATCAGAAGAGGAGCAATTGTAACTTACTTATCAGCAAAATTTAACACTAAATGTCATACAAAAACTATTCTAAGTTGAAAAAAAAAAAAAAATTAGAAGAAATACAATTGTACAAACAAATCATCAAATTTTGAATATATTTTTTCTGAATGTTTCAATCACAGAATAAAGTGGTATTGACAATGAAAGACCAATTGCCACTATACATGTTCAAATGTTATAAAAAAAAAAAAAAGTCAAATCTTAAATTTTAAGATGTAATGTAACAGCCTTAAATGCAGATTATAAAAGATATTTTTTTAAATGAGCAATTTTTGAAAAAAGGAAATTTATTGAGATGTGTTAAATCAAAAAACACGTCACTCAAAAAGAAAATTGAATTTATTTCCCAAAGCCCATTAAATCAAAATCATTAAAAAAAATTCTTGTAAAAACAGAATTGAGTGTATATATGAAAGGTCATAATAAACTTTTTAAAAGATGATTAAGTAATCCTTCATTAAATATAAATGAAATCTATTTATTAAAAGTAATTAATGTTAGAAAGTGTCTAGCATAATTTTGAATAATTTAAATGAACTTTTAGAGATTCTGATTTATCAGATGTATAGATTATTCCTATAGGATTTTCTGAAAATTTAAATTTATGCACTAATTCTTGGCAATACTTGTTTAAATTATATTCTTTAAAACTGAATTATAAATTCTGATATTGCAAAAATTACATTATTTGCTAAATTTTTGCACATGTCATAATTAATTAATTAAAGTTGCATACTTTCAGCTATAAAATCTTGCTATTATTCATAGCAATTTTTAAACTGTTTGTTCTAAAGATTGAAATGCATTCCAAAAACTATTTAATNCCAAACGGAACCCAAAAAATTTCTGGGGCTTTTTAACCCATTTGAATTTGACCTCAGAGCCCCAGAACAGTCAGAAGCCGCCTTAACCACTCGTCTATCATCTCATCTATCTAAGCCATCTATGCTTATGCTTTCATTCATATTATTTCAATCATAACAAAAATCAAATTCCATCTAATGTAACTGATGTATCAGTTATAATTATCTCTCTCTCTCTCTCTTTTTTTTTTATAAGAGTATACATTCATTTTTTCTTACAGTAATTTGAAAGTGCGCCATTAGATTCATCATGAGAAGATTCATCATTATGTCGAATAGACCCATAGATATTTCTTCTTTAATTTCTGCAGTGAACAACAGAGCCATATCAAAAANGTTCATTATAAAAAGTAATTTTGTAAATACCATCAATATTATACAGAGTGGTCAAAAGAAAAATTTATTCCTGAAAGATACACATAGCAATGTAAACTAACCCCTGAAAAGCATGCTGCAAGATGCACTTATAATAAATCTTGAACATTTATTCACTATGAACTCAAAGGACAACCTTTGAAACTATTAATAAATAAATTGATGGCACATGATGAGTCAGTCAAGCAGTCTTGTAAGGAGCAAACATTTGTTTTATCATTCTGTATACAGTATTTATAATATATAGCATCAATCTCTTAAAACTTGAAAGTTTTTAAAATTAAACTGTGTAATAATTGCTTAAACATCATCTAAACACAGTAAATCTATATATTTGCCAAATTTTTTAAATAATAATTTATAAAAATAATTTTAATATATCATTTTAANTCTCTTTTTTTTTTATAAGAGTATACATTCATTTTTTCTTACAGTAATTTGAAAGTGCGCCATTAGATTCATCATGAGAAGATTCATCATTATGTCGAATAGACCCATAGATATTTCTTCTTTAATTTCTGCAGTGAACAACAGAGCCATATCAAAAAATATATATATAATCTGTTAACTGATTGATATCAGATTATCTATGGACAATCTGATCAATTGTAGCTAAGAATGAAAATATAGATTTAATAAAATAAACTATGATGGTAAGTTATATTAATGAACTTTTTATTTATACATCTAGTTTCAAGTTCAATTAGTCATTTATATTTGCTTTTTACATCATATTTGGGAAAGTGTAGCATTGACAAATGACAGTTCCATGAATATAAAATTTATAGATTTTCATTAATAAAAAGAGCATGAGCAATTTTAAAATTACAAACCTGAACTTTCTGTTTGTTCTAATTTAGGTAAATCTTGTTTTAATCTCTTATTTTCTACAGTACATAAAGTTTTTGAATCATCAGCATCAATTTCTTCATTGCTGACATCATCTGTATTTACATCATGTTCGTCTGTTATCACTTCTAGAGTTCCAAATTCACTCAGTTTGAACTATTAAAAAAAAGCACTTTATATTTCAATAAATTATTTATTTTAAGAACTTTAAAGAACTTTTTATGTCATATTTTAAAATTATATAAAATTTTGTCATATTTTAAAAGAAATTTATTTAAAGAACTTTATGTCATATTTTAAAATTAAATTATCCATTTTCTGCATTCATATGACAAAACTAGAATTTTACATAAAATAATTCTCTTCAAAATTCAAAAATTTTTATTAATTTATTTAATTTCCTGTTATTAAAAAATTATCGATACCTTTAAATCACTTCCCGGAAGAGTCGCGATGCCATCTTTCCATTCCATTGCTTTAATAGGATCATAATCTGTACTTGTCGGGTCGTTTTGATTATTATTTGGTGAAGTTTCAATTTTTGTGATTAACGGATCAAGAGAAGATAAAGTAACTTTTAAAGGAGGAAAATTTGCTGTTGGTTCTTCTTCACTTTTTTGAAAAGGAGCTGCATTTATGACAGGAAGTACAGAAATTGTGTTGGGCTGTGATGCTTCCACCGGAGTCACCGGAACCGTAAAAGCTAACGGACTTATATCTGAAGAAGGAGAAACTGTTGGTGGAAAAGTCGAATAGGAAACAGGTATCGAACTAAATGATGTCGGAGGAATTACACTCGTCAACGTTGGTGGAGGAGGGATTAGAGTGGAAGTTGATATGCACGGTTTCGGTAAAACAGGTACATTTGTTGAAGGCACAGAAACATAATTCTGTGGGAAGACTGTCTTCTTATCTCCAGACTGAACAACATTAGTTATGGGAATAAATTTATTAGAAAATGTAACTCCTTGTACAGGTGCAGCAATAACTGAATTTTCCATGCTAGAAATAACTGGAAGCTGAAAAATTTAATAATTCATTATAACTTTTTTAAAAGTAATTAACACATATTATATATATATTTAATACCTGTTTATTTCCTTGTGGTAATCCTGATAAGCCTGACACAGTTACAATTATTGGTTTCTGAATAGTAGAAATCTGTGATGTATCTGACTTCATATCCCTAGTTACTAAAAAAAATAAATATTAAATTTTCATAAAATTTACACTAAATTTTAGTTACTTTTGTATAAATAAAGATTTATTATTGTAATATATGATACTTGAAAAAAAACTCTGTTCTGATTCATTCAAAAACTTTATAAGATAATTCTCAGAGCAAATATTTTAATGGTTTTACCCTGAAGATGGGCATTATCAGTTCAGAAATGCTTGGAAAAAGAAACCACTGCCACATACTGTAGAGAACATGCCACCACAGTGGACACAGCTTGGCAAGAGATACCTTAGAACAGTGGTTCTTAACCTTTTTATACTTGCGGCCCACCAAATATTTCATAATATTTTGTGACCCCCATTTTTTAATAATAATTTATATTTGTTAAATTATCTATAATAAATTGATTTTTTTTATTATTGCTTTATTTTTTATATAATAAATGTAAAACATAACTTTATTATTTCATTATCTATTTAAATAACATTCAAACTTCACAATTAAACCGGGTT